TAAGATTTTTCTCATACAGGTTTTGGACCTCAAGTTTACATATACGTTTCTTGTTTTTGTTTCTTTTTTTGCAATCATAAAAGGGATCTTCTCTTCAGGAACATCTTCTAACTAGTTTAGGCTTATATACATATATAGTCTTTTATTCTTTTTAGTAAACATTTTTATTGAACTGTAATTATACATACAGAAAAGTGCACAAATCATAAGTGTACAGCGATATTCATAAAGTGAATGCACCTATGTAACCAGCACCTAAATTATGAAACAGAACATCGCCAGCACCACAGACTCTGCCTTGTACTCTTCCAGTCCCTGTGGAGCAAAAGAAACCAGTTGAAAACTAATGCGTCGATTATGATTCCACTTAAAGAAAGTTCAAAACCAGACATAACTAATGGTGATTTAAGTCAAGATAGTGCTTACCTTTGAGGAGGGAGGTAGTGATTGGATGAGGGCACTGATTTCTGACACCATAGACAATTTTGCCCATTTTGAACTTCATCTAAATGGAATCAGAGTATGCACTCTTTTGTGTCTGGTGAAGGCTACTGATAGTTGTATGTTAGTTGTATGCAATTGCTACTTTACTAAGTTCTCTTATAGCTTTTCAACAAATTCCTTTGTGCTTTCCAGATATAAAATCATATTTTAAAAGTTTTCCTCTTCCTTTTCAATTCACGTCTTTGTTTTCTTTTGTTTAATCTCATTGACTAAATCCCCCAACACAAAGTTAAATAGTAGAGGAGATAGTGGGCCTTGTTCCTGACTTCAGTATCGACATTAAGATGCTGGCTTTTGGGCAGAGGTACACTGTCAATGAATTACTCATCAATTTCTGCTTATTGAGTATATTTAACATAAATGAGTGTTCAATTTTGTCAAGTGTCTTTTCTGCAAAGATGGAGATAATCATATGATTTTTCTCCTTAACTCTTTTAATTTGATGAATATTAATGGATTGTCTAATAATATTCTTGCATTCCTATAATAAATCCAACTTACTCATGACTTAATATTTTTTGAAAGTGCTATTGAATTGTTAATGTACTGTTAACATTTATGTACTGATATATTCATAAGTGAGAGCGGTCTATAATTTTCTCTTTGGTACAAACTTTGTCAGGTTTTAGAAACAATGCTTATCATGTTCACTTTACAAAATGAATTTAGAAGCCTTTTTTGTGTTTTTGGCCCTTTGAGGTTCAAGAGTCTCTTTATAGCCCCTGGAAATGTTTAAACAACATTAGGATTATTTAATCATGACAGTTTGGTAGAAATACCCTTGAAACAATCTGGGCCTGATTTTTTTTTTTGTAAAGAGTCCATTTGTCTTGAATTTCTGTATCTACTTTGGTAATCTTGGCAACTGGCATTTTTCTAAGAAAGGTTATTATTTTCTAATTTATTATATAAAATTACTCAAAGTAGTGTTATAATTTTGAAAATTTTCCTGTTTTATGGTTATTTCTCTCTTGTTATTTAAACTTTTGTGTTTTTGCTTCCTCCCTTTTTTTCTTGAAGATTGTCTGGTGGTTTGTCTATCTTGTCTTCCCTCCTTCCCCCTTTTAATTAATCCCTTCCTTCTACTTCCTTTTCGTTTGCTTTTTTCTCCAGTTTTTAAGACTCAATTGTGTAATTCTTAGCTTTTCTCATTTTTATTGATATTGCTCTAAAATTATAAATTTACTGTCATAATGGCTTTTTTTAATCAATAAATACTAGGTTTTCATCAGTCTTGTGGTCATGTCCTGCTGGTGTGCTTCCAATGTCTGTGGGGATATTGGGCTGCCTATTCTTTTATTCCTTAAAACAACTTTGAATGGGCTTTGACTGTAATCCTTCTCAGGTTTTGTTTTCGTTTTGGGGTGAAATGAGTTTTCCTATACTTTTAGGAGGAAGGGGTGCTCTAGGACGACTTTTTTTTGCTCTATGGCCCTAAAGTTCCTGTTTCATTTTCACAAAGTGATTTAAAAGATTATCTATGTCCACATATAATATCTAGGTATATTGACTTTCCTTCCCAACATTTATCTGGACTCTCTTCTCTTTGTCCTATTGTAACCTATCCTGTCCAATTTGGATTCTAATTCTGGCTAGGCTTTATCTCATTAGTTTTAAGATGTATACAGGACAGGGCCCAGACTGCTCTAGCACAATCATCAGACCATATCATATTGCTCTAACACATACTTGCAGATGCGGACCTGTAGAATCCCTCCCAGTTTCAGCTTTTGTTCTCAGACTGGCCCACTGTACTTCCTAGTGAGAAACTGGGGGCAATGCTATAGTTCTATTCTCAAGGCTGTCAGAAACCAGCTGTCTGCCTTTCACGTCCTCCCACACAGATGCTGAAACTATGTTGGTCAGTGGTTTGTCCTTATAAAACTCTATTCTGAAGTTCATGGGGACACCCTGTCATCTAGTTTTGTAGAATAGCTATCCTAGTTACTCTGGATTCGAATGGGGAGATTCAGAAACTACAATGCTGCCATCATCTTCCTCGAGTTTAAATTCTGTGGGATCTCTATTACAGAAAAGAGAGGTTTTAAAAACAATTTTATGATGGTTATGACAAATTTTAATTAGGAATTTATTTCAGGAATTTACTTTATTTACTTAGTACTATGCTAAGTACTTTATATGTATTACCTCATTTGATCTTCAAACAATCTTGTAAGTTTGATTTTTCCCCCCTCATTTTATCAAAGGGGAAGTTAGGGTCCAAGATTACACTGGTGAACTGGCAGATCTAGGATTTAAACCCAAGTCATCTGACTCCAGGTCACCTCCTTACTATACTGACTCTCAAATATTATCAGGCCCAACAGTTTCAAACTATGTACCACTGTCGGCAAAACTTCTATTTGAATTTGAATATTTATAAATAATTATTTAAAGATCTAATTAAATTGTACACATATTATAGGTTAAATCTAAAAGCACTGTAGATGATAAATAGGTTGAATTGCGTTATAGGACCTGATGAACCTTGTTTTCATGCATATGCTCAAAACAAGGCCTCTCCTACCATAGTCTAAAAAATACCATACTGGAGTTGGCCGTAGAGCATAGGGAACAGAGTTACTGAGACTTCATATTCCCCTTCTTATTCTATCACCACTGCTAAAGAACCAAGTATATATATGAAATAGTGTTTATAATTTATTTTATTAATACTTTTCTTGTAGGTAACTATTTAGAAAAAGTTGGGAATAGTTTCTCCACAATTCACAATGGGCTGGTGTTTTTTTGGTCAATATGCTGCTGTGGAATGTGAACATTCACTGGCCCATAAAGTTTCACAAGGAGGTCTCTCATGAGTATATCGATTAGAATCATGTTGTAATATATAATCTTATGCTATTAAATTACACAAGGAGTTAGAAAATATTTAGTAGTTTTTTGAAATACTTTGACCTTGGAATTCTCCTTCATACGAATATGGTTACTATTACTAACTTTTTAAGCTTCCAACCACTAATGGCAATTCAGGAAAAAAAAAATGGGGGCTTTTTGAATAGTTCTAAAGCCGTTACATATATGCCATTTTAACTCCTGATGTCTACGAAATGAGTTAGTTTGAGATGTAGATGTCTTAATTTGTCAGAATTTAAACTGGTACAAACTGGAATAACTCATGGAAGGATGACATCTGTTGTTAGGCTTATTTTATCCCCACCATCAGAAAACTGATTTTATTTCTAATTAAAAAAAATTTTTTTTTGACTTTGGCAAATTGAGGTTTAAAACTAAGCATGCCAATAATAAATGAATCATTTCTCCAAGTATATACTAGGTTTCCTTTGGGAAGGACCATTATTTAAGGGCATTTTTTTCTCCACTCTAGGAAAGAAATTAAAATAAAAATTTAAATATTACAATACCTAAACAGTGATATTAGTAACTTGGTTTTTATACTGATACTTGTAAAACTAATAATCCAACACTTATTATCACCAAGACTTTAAATGAAACCCAGTCCGTCTGGTGAAGAGATTTCCTTCTCCATTTCAGCACTACTCTCATAACTTTGAACGTCATAGAGCAACAGTGACAGATGTAATTTATTGATAAACTGATTACTAATAAAAATGAGTTTTTATACTAACTCCTTTACAATTAGCTAGGTCACAGAATGAAGAAAACAAAACAAAGAAAAGCAAATCCCAGTCCTTAACCCCTAAATGGTACATTTCCTTCCCACTTACCTGAAAATACAAAAATATGAATGACTGTGCATGGGGAGCTACACCATTAACTTTACTTGAGTGGTGCTATTTTTTTTTTACTTAAATGTTTACTTATTTCATTTGAAAAAATTAGAAAATCATCAGTTTGAAATTTGAGCAGCTAACACACTGGGGCAACAAACTAAAAATAAGAATCCAAATGGCTAAAAATAACTCAGTTATAAAAGTACAAGTATAATTTACAGTATTACATATCTCAGAAAAAGAAACAGAACCATTAAATGGCTTTCCTTCTAGATAAGACTGTTTCCTCTGCAGAAAGGAAAAAAAAGGAACTAATGATTTGAGATTAAAATCAAACATAACTGTTATTTACCCCAACAACATCTAAAATAAATGACCCGCACAGCACAAAACTTCCCCATTCACAATCACATACAATTATATTACTTGTCCCTCAGTTACATAATAGTCTTCTTAAAACAATCTCCCTTTAGAAAATTATTGTATTAGTTAAGCCTATTCGTTCTTGCTATGAAGTTAATTTCATTTGTATAGGCCACAAAAGTTTAATTGGCACATTTTACTTAAGTCAAAATAAGTCTTCTTTTTAAAAATTATGGGATCATCTGTTTTCAAAGAATAATCCCAGATACTTAATTCATTAAAGCAATGTTCTACCATCAGCAGTCAAGCTTTTTAAATGATCACTGTGTTCACCTGAAGATTATCAATGCTATGTGAACTGTAAACTTCTTTTGAAGATTTGTATTTATGATACAATTTTGTACTGAAGAGCTTTTTAAAAAGATAACCTTCATACATACAGTTAGTTTGCCTCAGAGAACTTAGAAATACAATATATAAACATTTAAGAACCACAACAGAGTCCACTGTGGTTCAAACTTCAACAAAGATTTCCTTGAAACCTAGTACGAAGGTTACTGGCTCAAGACCATATACCAAAGTGACATCAGCACAAGATTCAATGGTAAGACTCTACCTCTTAAAAAAAAGAGCACACTTGGTTATACATGGCTTTTAACCTTGAGCTACAGTTAGGCTACAAATCCCCCCACCCTCCCAATCTAAAGTTAGTCATGTGGAGATGTGTACATTCTCTGAGCACTGTTTAGAGTCCTTGGTTTTCCAGCTCTGATGGAGATCTCGAAGGCGTTCAGAAGTCCGTGTGCTTACGTTCAGGGCAGGATGAACTTTACAAATGCCACTTTCCTCCATTAGTGACAGGCCACAAATTCCAAAGTATGCATGCAAAGCATCTGAAAATAAGGCAGTTTTATCACAACAGGCATTCTTATTTGTACAAAATATTTTAGCTACTTATCAGCCCATCACTACATTAAAAATAAATTTAGAAAAATACTAAATACAGTTTTTGAAATATTTGCTCTCAAACCCCAAATTTTTAAAAACCAGGTGATCAAAATCAGATGATACATTATTCAAGAAAACATCACTAACAAAGGAGAACAGTTCCTAGCTGAAGAAGTGACATTACCAACATCCTCTGTGATTAAAGAACAAAAAGGAAGAGTACCAGTGATATAAAAGACTTCTCACTCTAATGGGTTTTCCCTTTTGCTTACTATAGAATATGGAAACAAGGAGCTTTATATCATAAACAGAAATTTTTTCTTAAAAGTGAAAATAAACCTCAGAATCTAAGTAGCATTAGCCCTCCCCCACTAAGTTTTACCTCTGACAGTTCCTAAACCATATATGATGACAATACTATGTTAAATGAAAGAAGCTTAGGCAAAATAATCCATTCTGGAATGCTGTACCATATTTAATTTCCCTATTTCAGGTAATGTCAGTCATTCTAAAAATATCTGACCTGACAATAAAAACAAACTCACACATTCTGTTTGGTCATAATAATGTGAGTGTTCATACCATAACAATTCTTCTACAGTGGCCTCACTACTGTTTCCCATCTTTCAGGGGGCAGCAACTTTCTTCCATTAAATGGCCACTGAAATCACAAGGCTGTTGCTTGCCTGAGAGCTTTCTATGACTTCTGAAAGGGCTCAGAGCTCTGCAGTTATGGGAACGCTACAAAAAGCAGATTTTGTAGCAGTCAAAATATTTTTCTGTTTTTGAGTTCGTCATCATTTATGGTCTCATGAGCTATTAAAGTTCAAAACATCTTTTGTGTCAAAAGAATTAAAGAGAAAGTTTTACTTACAAAAGTATCATTTACTTTTCAAAAAAGGAATGACAAATAGTTGTGCTTACTCAATGCTATTTGTGAAAAAGTTATTTCACCAATGAAGGCCCATGTTAATCCCCTTTTATGTCTTTTTCAGAGAATACTTAGGTTTCTTCTAGCTCATTTTACTCTAATTTTCAGACCACAAAAAATAAACTTAATTTTTCCTATACTATTATAGTTTTCTTGCAGTTTTTCTAAAATTAAAAAGCAACATTAAATTTTATTGTATAGAAATAAGGAAACTTTTCTAGGAAAAGAATGCAACAGAAAATACACTTAGAATAAATAAAATAGGATCTTACACTTTCCAGTAATGTAAGAATAATTCTGTTTTCTCAAAAGGATTTTTTGTAAAAGCTAATGAAATAGAAGTTAAATGTTTCAATCCTCAAAAACAAAAAAAAAAACAACAAAAAAGAAAAACTCTTTGTCTGTAGGTGGTGACGTATTCAAGCACTTTAGAGTTGAAATATATATTTTCCTCATAATAAAACTTCATTCTTTTCATAAGTTTTTCCTATAAATGTATATAAAATCTGTGTGTCAAATCTGCTACTAGATTGATTTATTAGAACCAAGAATAAGCTAATTTTAAAAACTCTTACTAAAATGATTTTTATAACAGCTCTGGGAACAGATCTTTTCTACATAAATTCAATGTATCATACAAAGACTTCCTATGCTCTGTAATGTACAGGATCTGAAGACATTATAACATATCTATAAAAAATATTACATCCAAGTATTTACTCAAATGTTAAACTTAACAACTGATCTCTCTAGAAAAAAGCTCCAAGAATTTTTTTTAAAAAGCTACTGTAAAAAATCAAAATGTATCTCAATGTTTATATAACAAATGCTTTTCAAGCGACTGTCATTTCCCTATTCCCATTATTTGTTAAAACAGTACATTATTTTTTAAAATAGTACCATGTACTGATTGAAAACAATGGAATCAATACCAAAAGAACTGTTTTCTTGAGGCACTTTTCAAACATATTTAAAGCTATGTGTTATAGATACCAAAATTTAAAAATATTATTTTGCTTTAGAAATTAAAAGCATTGTACATTTTTTATTTTATTTATTTATTTTTAATTTTTTTTGTTTTTTGTTTTTTTGCGGTACGGGGGCCTCTCACCGCTGTGGCCTCTCCCGTTGCGGGGCACAGGCTCCAGACACGCAGGCTCAACGGCCATGGCTCACGGGCCCAGCCGCTCCGTGGCATGTGGGATCTTCCCGGACCGGGGCACAAACCCGTGTCCCCTGCATCGGCAGGCAGACTCTCAACCAGTGCACCACCAGGGAAGCCCATTGTACATTTTTTAAAAAGAAGCATAGTTTGCATGAAAATACACGTAAATATGGATGTCAGGAAATATTCCTGCTCACTTCAGGTAAAATAAACATGATTCCATGAGCCCCTTATCTGTACTTCGATTCAGGTACATATTCTGACCGTAACCGTTCTATGACAAGAGAGGAGGTGGAGAGGTTCTAGACTAATAATAAAAACCATGACACTACTGCAATGCTGCAAAAACAATCATTCCTTAAATCTAGTGTCATATTTATAGCTAATACTTCGTCAATTTGCTTATCAAAAGTGTCAGTGTTCTGACTTATTTTTAACAAAGTCTTGAATTGAGTTTTTGGAAGCTACAAATAGATTCATTTTGCTGGAGGTGAAACCTAAGGGGGAAGGGCAAGCAGCTTGGAGAACGATGCTAGCGGTGGGAGAGGAGCCAAATCCTGGGAGGGCCTTGTGTACAGTGCCAACTGACTCTGAGTGCTAAGAAAGTTTTTCAACAATTGTAACAGAATTAACAGAAGAGTTTAGATTAGAGGTTCTCTTTTGCATCAGAGATCCCTTTGGGAGTCTGAAAAGAGCTTTGGCCCCTTTCCTCTCATTTAAGCAAATGTACATACACACACACAAAAGTGTCACTAGGAGGGGCACTGGACTAGAGGAAGACTGGTAAGACATTTTCAAAATCCTAGGCCTGAACTTGGGCCTAGTGCCACCAAAGTTTTGGGGCAGGGCAGAGCACGGAGATGATGAGCTGTCTTGGCAGGCTAGGCCTGAGGGGTCTGTAGATGGATGGCATCCATGTAGTTACTGACTTTATTATATTAGAGCATGCAGCTTAGACTATGGCCTGTCTAGGTTTGGAAAATAGCAGAATTATCCACATATTTAGAAGAAATGTCATTATTTCTGAAGAACCCTTTTAAAAGTACTTATGAAATACAAGAATCCTCTGTTCTTCACATCTATGCCTTTCCTGAGCTGGGAAAGCATGGAATATTGTACTGTCTGAATCAATTTGGTTCCTGAATTTTAGAGAGTGAATGGTTTGAGAGTTCATATAGCAAAAGTATTCATCTAAAAAAATAACTTGAATCTGCCAAAATTCAGAGAATAAGAGTATGGACAGTGAGGGACACCTGTATTCAAGATTTCAGATTTCTGATTTAATGACTTATGAAGAACTAGCTCCCTTTTGGATTTAAGAGTAATTTACTCTGCAGAGTTCAAGCGATAGCTAGTAATCCTAAAGATCTTGGATGAACCAATTCTATTTTGGACAGGGACCATTCAGACCATCTGCCTTACTGCCCGCAACAAAATGAAACACTGCTAAGTGAAATACATGGAAAAAAGGGCAAACTATACCAATACATCTTGATAATCAAATCCTTCCTTTACACCCCAAAGACCCTAAATCTACCATAAACTTAAACAATTTACCTTTTTAAAAACATTATTTAAATTAAGTTTACAACTGTGCCTATATTTTCTATCATATGCCCTTTCTGACAAAGATGCTTGAAGATCTACTCAAAAAATAAACAAAACAAAAGTTGCTCTGGATTTATACAAAAAAATAAATTACCTGGATGACTATCTGGCCACTTGGCAAATCCCCCTACGAGGCGATCTTGAGTTGATAAGATATAATTTCTATTTTTCTCGAAGTTAGTATACTGGAAAATTTTCAGAAGCTGAAATGACATGACAAATATAAATTTATTGACATAAAACTTTCATATTGACCTTTGGCTCAATTTTCAGATATATGTAATTTAAATATGCTTTTCTCTAATTAAGTAAGGCTCTCAGAGCAAGCCTAGGGGGCTTGAGCATTTAAAATTCTCAACCACATTAACTTTTTTTTTTAATCATCTTATCAAATATACTCTCCTTTTCTTGACCCACTCACTATTTCCTTCTTTTGAACCATACCCACCTGACTTCTCTGCATCACATTTAGCTACATTCAAAACACAACTTCCCAGTATGTTCAACTTCATCAGTTATTTTTAAAAGGGCAATTTAATTAACCTATATTCTAACTCTTATGACAGGCTTTTGAACTATTAGTTACAAATTGCTGGTAATGAAAACTAAAAATATTTCAAAAAAGAGTAACAAAAATTATTAACCACATGCTAGAGACAGTTTTGAGAATAGTAAAAAATTAAAGCTCTTTATAGGAAAGATACAAGGTGAGACAAATACAATTTTAGCATAAAAAATTATGTAGCTTAAAGATTTAGGACATGTATTTGTCCTTTCTCTGAAGATCCCATTCAATAGAAAAAAATAAAGGATTGTCAAACTGTGAAGAGAACGGGGTTGGGGGGTGGTGAACAGTAGATAAGAAAGTTCAAGAAGTGTCACAAAGCAGCTGAAAGTGTGTCAATAAATCAGAGAGCCATGAAAGGTATTAATGATTAATAAAGAAGCATTATTTCTCAAAAAGAGAAACAAAACCAATAATAAGGTTATGGTACAAATAAGAAACGAACTTATTCATTCATTTGGTTTAATTAACAGAATATAAGCAGAGACTCTTTAGACTCCTGATGCTAGAAACATTTTTCATCAAGGGGCACATAGGTCATTACATAGAAAGAAGGAACAATAATCTTAACACTGTACTTGGTTTAGCAATAAAAAATATTTATACAGCCCTAATATGTGATTACTGGTTTTCAAATTTTAAAATCAACCTAAAGGCAAAACATAAAATATTTGATCATTGTTACTGAACAAAATATGAACGTTACCTAAGTTGATGTTGTAAAAGTAAAGGTAAACTGAAAAGTTTAGAAGGGAGAGGAAGAGAAATGGTTCAGAACTAAAAAATATATATACCAGTAACAATCTGCTGGAAAAAGGGGAGGCCAAATCTTCATTTTTCATAGTTGGGAATATGTTTTCAAAGCTGGGATAATGCCTAAAGGTGCTAAGTCAAGAAATCAGCATATTTAAAGTTATTATTTAAAGTTATCCATACAATTAAAATTTTTTTAAAGGTTTAAAAGTAGTTGCCTTTAGAAAGTTGTCAAAGACCACCAAGGTCATATCAAAAAGACTCAAGAAACAACTTGAAGGGGCTCCTACTGGCTAAAGATGGGACAATTTGAGCATTAAAAAGAACAATGTAATGGACTAAAATGGATAAAATATATTAAAATCTATGAGTTCACAGTGATACTCAAAGGGTAAAAAAGAAAAAACCCTAAAACCCAATTATTTTATTGGAAAACTTTAGAGGATGCTAGGGAACCAACTCACTGACTAAATGAACATTATTAAAATTAAAAGAAAGAATCATCTGCCTTTCTCTGTACAACCATACCTTAAGTTAAAGTGAAATTCTTCTTTATAAAAGAATCCTAGTTAATAAATTTAGAGGGAATGATAGAATATCACCATATAGCAACCCCCAATGACATAATGGACCTAAGTAATGATCCTCAACGGCTGGTAAAACCATTCCGTAAGAAGATGATGAAGCTTTTACACATCAGCAACAAACAATCCAAAAGAAAACTAAGAAAGCAATTCCACTCGTAACAGCTTCCAAAAGAATTTAAATACTTTGGAATAAACCTATCTAAGCAGGTGAAAGATCTGTATGCAAAAAAATACCAAACACTGGTGAAGGATTAAAGATCTAAATAAATGGATAAACATTCCATCATCATGGATAGGAAGACCTGACATTGTTAAGATGTCAACACTACTCAAAGCAATCTACAGATTCAATGTAAACTCTATCAAAATTTCAACAGCCTTTTCCCTAAGAAATGGTAAAGCCAATCCTTAAATTCACATGAAATTGCAAGGGGCCCTGAAGAGCCAAAACAATCTTTAAAAAGAAAAATGTCAAGGACTCATACTTCCTGATGTTGAAACTTACTACAAAGCTACAGTAATTAAAACAGTAAGGACCAATGCAATAGAATGGAGAGCCCAGAAATAAACAGATGATTTTCGACAAAGGTGCCAAGACAATTTAATGGGTAAAGAACTGTCTTTACAACAAATGGCACTGGGAAAGCTCAATGTCCACATGTAAAAGGATGAAGCTGAAGCTCTTGCTTTATACCATATACAAAAATCAACTCAAAGTGGATCAAAGACCTAAGCTCAAGAACTAAAACTATAAAACCGTTGGAATAAAACATCGGGGAAAATCTTCATAACATTGGATTTGGCAATGATTTCATGGAATAACAACCAAAAGCACGGGCAACAAAAGAAAAAATAGATAAATTGGACATTTCTCCAAAGAAGATACACAGGATGGCCAATAAGCACACCAAAAGGTTCTCGATATCACTAATCATTAGGGAAATGCAAATCAAAACCACAATGAGATGTCACCACATAGCCATTAGGATGGTATTATAAAAAAAAACAACAGAAAAAACAAGTATTGGTGAGAATGTAGAGAAATTGGAACCCTTATACATTGCTAGTGGGAATGTAAAATGGTGCAGCCACTGTGGAAAATAGTTTGGTGGTTTCTCAAAAAGTTGAACACGTAACTACCATGTAATACACCGATTCCACTCCTAGGTAATTATCCAGAAACAGATATTTATTTTACACCAGTGCTTGCTGCCACCATATTTACAATAGCCAAAAGGTGAAAACAATCCAAGTGTCCATCAACAAATGAACAGAGAAACAAAATGTGGTATATACATAAAACAGGTATATTTACTCAACCATAAGAAGGAATGAAATTTTGATATATGTGACAATATGGATGGAGCTTGAGAAATATAAGCCAGACACAGGACACAGTAGATTATATGATTCTACTTATATGATGTACCTAGAATAAGTAAATTCACAGAGACAAAAAGTAGAATAGAGGTTAGCAGGGGCTGGAGGGATGGGAGAACGGGGAGTTACTGTTTAATGAGCACAGTTTATGTTTAGGATGATGAAAATGTTTGGGGTATAGACAGTGGTATTGGTTACACAACACTGTGATTTGTACACTTATAAATAGTTAAACTTTATTATATTACGTATATTTTAACACCATATAAAAAAGTGAACAAAGAAGGCTCATGGGGAACTTTATAATGGATGAATCAGTTTTGACAACTCTGGAGCCCTTTGATCAAGAGGAGAGACAGCCAGACATTATATTATATGCCTCTTGATGTGATGCAATAGGAAATATATATCATCCTGACTTGATATTTAATGATAAGGAACTATGGCTGATTTCTTAGAAGTGATATTACGGTTCCATTTTTTTTTTTTTTTTTTTTTTTTTTGCGGTACGCGGGCCTCTCACTGTTGCGGCCTCTCCCGTTGCGGAGCACAGGCTCCGGATGCGCAGGCTCAGCGGCCATGGCTCACGGGCCCAGCCCTCCACGGCACGTGGGATCTTCCCGGACCGGGGCACAAACCCGTGTCCCCTGCACTGGCAGGCAGACTCTCAACCACTGCGCCACCAGGGAAGCCCTACGGTTCCATTTTTTAAAAAGCTTTTTGTTTAGCGATTATACTGAAAATTTTCCAGATAATATAAAAAATGGTATCTGGGATTTGCTTTAAAATATTAGTCAGTGAGGGTGAGGGAAGTGCACAGTTATATGGATGAATGAAGGTTGGCTTTGGGATGCAAACTGTTGAGATTGGTTGATGAACATATTAAGGGTTCATTATACACTATTCTCTCTTCTTTTGAGTATGTTTGAAATTTTTCATAATTATAAAAATTAATATGGTGCACCTGAGGAATGGCACTAGAAGTGAGGAGACAGAGGCTACTGCCTTCATTTTAAATTGTTCTATTTTCCCAATTCATTTCAACCACATGTATGAATTTTGTTTAAGAGAAAAAATTAAGATATTATAGTAAGTCCCCACATACGAACCTTTAAGTTGTGAACATTCAAAGATGCGAACGTGCATTCATACGTCCAATCGCGTCAGTTCACATGTCTGACGTACATTGTCACATGCGTGCATCCTCTACAAGTGGTTGTGCTTTTTGTGTACTCTACTGTACAGTACTGTATAGAGTACAGTAGTACAGTATCTTTATTTCAAGCTAGATCTGCAAGAGGACGACTTCATTGAATTCCTTGCTGTGCAACAGGAGAAGTTTACTAATGAAGACCTGATGGAACTGGAGGCCCAGAGAAAGGATGGAGAGAGACAAGAGGAAGAAGTAGTAGCTGAAGAACCGAAGAGATTCATGATGCAGGAAATGGCAAGGGGATTTTCTTTATTTGAGGAGGCACTGTTAGCTTTTGAGGCACAGGACCCGAATGCAGAACGGTACACGAAGGTTGCAGCAGCCATTCAGAATGCAATCCAGTGCTAGCGTGTCATCTATGACGAGAAAAAAAGAGCTACTAACCAGACATCACTGGATCGTTTTTTCAAGAGGGTAGATAGAATTGAATCCAGCAAGGAACCAGAACCTGTGCCATCCACGTCAGGCGTGAGTGAAATTGCAGCTTGCCCTCTGTCTCCTGTTGCTGATGATCCTTTGGCTCTACCATCTCCCACCTCCTCTCCCTCCTCCAGTCAGTAACTCTTGCCTGTTCACTCGATGCCAGCCCCTGTATGCCAGCTGTGGTACTGCACTATAGTACTTTTCAAAGTACTATACTGCAGGATTAAAAATGTTTTACTTTTTGTGTTTGTTTTTTACATATTATTTCTGTGAAAAGTATTATAAACCTATTACAGTACAGTACTATACAGCTGATTGTGTTAGTTGGGTACCTAGGCTAATTCTGTTAGACTTACGAACAAACTGGACTTTCAAACGCACTCTCGGAACGCAACTTGTTCATATGCAGGGGACTTACTGTATATAGACGATGAACATAGACTTTTGTTAGATTCCTGAATATCAGGCCTAGGTGATACGTTTTAAAGGCAAAAAAGGCAATTTTAAGGTATTGAAAACTTGTGGGTACGCAATGGCTAATAAGCTTATGTATTTAGGTACATCAAAAGGTAGTAGAGATGGGGAAAATGTATGAACATATTAATCAATACATTTCAGAAGGCTTACACAAATAAATACAAAATAGAAAACCTTAGATGGTTTCTAAAGGAATGACCCATGGTTTATCTTTTAAGATTAAATTTTCCCATAAACCCTTTACTGGTATGTTCAGACAGATCTCCCCACTAGACAGACCACCGATCAGTTTCAGGTAAAAGTTTTTTAAGACATTACACCTACTTTCTTACATAGGTTCTGGGACACTAGAGCTTTATAAGAATAGAAATTTCTAAGTAGTACAACAGATAACTGAATTCTGTGGAAAAACCATACAGAGACTAGCTTTGCCAGAGCAACAGGAAAAACCTTTTGCCCTAAACCTAACAATATTTAATGAACATTACAAAGTCCAAACCCTTTAAGCACAGTTTTTTTTATTAACAAAGAGTAAATGTTTCTCATTTTTATTATTTCTCTTACCTTTAGAGTTGCTCCCACCCAAAAAGAATAACAGGTGTCAACAGGCTTATTAGGTCTTCCATGATAACCATTTTGTTGTCTCATTATACACCACCTCTTTATCCTGTTCAATTCTTTTTCTGAAAAAACTTCTTCTAGTTTACCCATCAGGCACAGTGATGCAATGCCACAAAAAGTTGATCCTCCTGTTAATTAAAACCACACAATACTTTAAACTTATTAGATGTCTAAGAAAATAATATGAAATGATTGAAGAAAAAAAGGGTTAAATAACTCTAGAAAATAGTGAAATAAAATTAAAAGACAATTAATTTTACTTTTATTTCACTATTTTATTTACCTTAATTTCACTATTTAAAATAACCACTGAGCACTGGAGTCTTCAATATGAACTTGATGAAATAGAAAAAAATTTAAAATAACTTAAGGCTGTAAGAACAATTTTTTAAATGAAAAAAGATTTAGAAAGTAGTTCAAAATTATATGGTTAATGAGAGAGTTGAAACTAAAATCCAGAACTCCTACTCCCTGTCTACTACTCAATCACCTGAGTCTGATTTTAATTCCCTTAAAGACAGTGTATTGATTATGAATTGAGGTTCCATCTGCCTAAAGCTACAGACTGATTTTCACATATAACATAAACTAGAAGCTTACATGTCAGCTTAAGAAATTTAAGGAAGAAAAGTTTCAGCAAAGGGAAAG